CCAGTGTGCAGAATGCCTGTATTTTTGGAATTTGTCCATTTTCTAGGTAAATTCCTTGACCTTTTGTGTGTGAAAATGTTGCCAGCGGTGCTAAAAGCCCATTCACTGTCTACACTGGTTGGAGGTGCGGAGATATATCAACTTGCTATCCTGGCCATTGTGGGAAATCAAGCTTCATTTGACTTCCAAAAGTGAGGCCAGTGAAAGTAAATGCAGAAATAGTGATGTTGACACATTTTAGACCTAACCCCTATTGTTCTCATACCCCAACCCCTATTGTTCTCAAAACACCCACTTTCTCCAGAAATCCACTTTTCAAGCCATGCCTGTTATTAACCTCTAGTGAATCCCCAACTTTTGCTCGGAACATGTCTTTTTTAACTAAACCAATTATTGACTGTTATTTTCAGTATCTCGTAAGTTTCCACAAAGATTAGGGCTTAGATGCCATTTTCAATTACCCGGATTTGGGTGTTTTTAACTTTGACACTTGGCCAGAGCCAAGTATTACCAGGTAGTCCAACAACCGGCTAGTGCCAAATACCTGGCTGGGTACCTGTGCATCCCTACTAAATACACAAATACTTGAGTAAGGAAGTAGACAAGTAACGATTTATAAGCATAAATAAGTGATTTAGTTTTGGTGGAATGTACTACAGGTTTCAACAGAACATTGGTCTGTTTTCTTCTGGTGTCTGCAGATGAACAATTGTTTAATTCTATATCTGTACATCCAATTTTTTAGTTTATTCTGTTATGTGTTTACATTGTGAACAATCATACATTAGAAAAACGAGTATAAAATGACATCTGGTTGAGCATTTGAACACAGCTTTAACATTCAGAATTGTGACCTGGACAACTCTGTGTGAAGCATTTCACGGATCAACATCAGTCACTTTAGAATTGCTAGTCGTCAAAAGGAAGAGACAGAAAAACAAAAAATGAACTGAAATAAATAAATGATTTTCTTTTCTGTAACTTTCTATGTATGCACATGTGAATGTTTAATCTTATGCACAAACATACATTTTTCTTCTCATTTATTTAGTTATATATATATATACTTCAACAATAATAGTTTAAGTAACTTTTTTATTATGGCTGTGTAAAATAAAGAAAGAGTGATTTTCATTAAACAGGATGTAATGCAGTAATAAAGAGTAAAATTGATGGGGAAAACATAGTTGTCATTAAACAGGATGTAATCCAGTAATAAAGAGTAAGATTGTAAAATTGACGGGTAAACATAATTGTCATTAAACGGAATGTAATGCAGTAATAAAGAGTAAGATTGTAAAATTGACGGGGAAACATTATTTGTCATTAAACGGAATGTAATGCAGTAATAAAGAGTAAGATTGTAAAATTGACGGGGAAACATAATTGTCATTAAACATAATGTAATGCAGTAATAAAGAGAAAGATTGTAAAATTGATAGGGAAAGTGTAATTGTTATCAAACAGTATGTGATGCAGTAATATTATGAAGTTGATAACTTGTGTGTGATTACAGTGATGTGTATTATAGTTTGAGTTGTTAAATAGTACCTTACTAGCAATACTAGTGGATTAACACTAGTTCAGTTGGTAGAGTACTCACACGGCTTCAGATTATGTGTCCTAAAATAAACTTGCATTATAAATAAGCATTTACCACAAGACTGTGATGCACACATAACTGGGTGATAATTATAATATAAGTTATGCTTGCTGTTAAATATTTGTCAACTGAAAAAACAATCCAGACTTGGATAATCTTCTTTACTTGGTAATAAATTCAACTTTTAAACTATACTTAGATCAGATATTTGTTAGAAACTTAACATAGCTGAATTGATAAATGTTTGCTTTGATATTAAAACTGTGATGTACTTATAGATCATTTTATTCGTAAATTTCTTCCACGATTTTAAAAATATTTCATGTCTTTAAAAGCTACACTCTTCTCAATTGTTGACCAACAGACTCATCCAAAAACAGCTGCAAGAAATATTTATTTTTGGTTTGTTAAGATCAAAAGTTATTGTAATGATTTTTCTTACATTTTGTAGGATGTAAAAGAAAATGATATGTGCAAGATAAAATGTTTATAATATTTGTTCAGTTAATTTCATGGCATTTAGTAACCAATTATGTTGTCCATGTCCCAATATTTAGACAACTTATTTATGTCATTTATCTTCTCTAAATTTTGTTAACACTCATTAAATATTGGATTTAACACAGTAGTGTTGAAATTTGTTTTAAGGAAAAAATATTTAGTGTTATGATTGAAAGATGTGAATCAAGAATGAATGTCAGATTTGTCATTTTGTTATTTTATTTTTGCTTGAAAGATTGTATTTGGTTTGAACTAATTTTTCTATTAATTATTCTTTATTTTGTCATGTTTTTCTACTTAATATGGCTATCTTAAATGTGACTTGAGTTTTCATATAAACATGTACTTATATTACTATTGATTGATGTTTGTTTTCAACTGAGTTATTTCAAGGATACTTAAAATTATTATATGAACAGTTATTCAAGTAAAACATTGTAAAAAAATACAGTAATTTGTTTTAGGCCCAAATGTGACAACTACTGCTATTCCTTCTGTGCCTCTCTGTCCTGAAATTTCAAGTATTATTTCGACTGGTTGTCCATCATACTGTCCACCTGGAAAACTCTGTGATGGTATTGCTTGCGTTGATCTAATAGATTGTCCTTGTATGCAAGAAAACAAACGTTTCAAGGTGTGAACATACTTTAAGAGTGAAAATATATGTTGTAGTTTATTGTTCATTTAGTTTAAGTATAGTAGTAATAAATATATTAACTTTTTGTTTCTGGCAAGTGTGATTTGCATTTCTTATTTTTTCATGTTGTTTCTTACAAGTTTAATTTGTATTGCTTATTTGTCTCTTGCTGTTTTTAACAAGTGCAATTCTTATTTATTTCTAGCTCTTTTTTCCGATTTGCATATTTTATTTTTCTGACTGTTTTTCACAACTGTGATTTGCATGTCTTATTTATTTCTAGCTGTTTTTGCAACTGTGATTTGCATATCTTATTTTTTACAATAAAAAGGATAACAATACTTAAGAGAAACAACATTGTTTACTTATAACGTAAGGAGACACAGATAAACGTTTCAGAATTCAACAGATTCCATCATCAGTATCTAAAGGAAAAATAAAAAAATTACATCATTCGTAAGTAAGTATCTAAAATACATTGCTAAAATAACAGTCATTTAATCAAAACTACAACAACATGAAATGAGTGACAAGCAAAATACTGTACATATTAGAGAATGTGCAATTTAAACAAAGACTGCATATTGTTCAGTGTTGATGAAAGTTGTTTGATGCTGAGAGTTTCTTTGCAAAGGATATTGAAATTTGATAGGTTAAGTTCATGTCCTGTTTCTTCACTGTGTTGGTGTATAGAGGAAATACTGGGAATTCTCATTTGCTCTAGCTAGTAGATGGCATTTGGTTTTGCCAACATAGGAGGCCTTACAGTCTCCACACGTGAAAATATATACAAGCCAAGTACGAACAGAAATTGGGAGAAAGCCTAATCTGAAATCAACTTTAGTACTGATGAATTATGTATTTAACTTGAATTTTTAAACTTAAGCTTTGTCCTCCAATGTATATAAAATGAGTATATAATAAGTTTGGGTACAGTTGGTAGTCTGATAGGTTAGTGAGTTTCTGAGTTAGAAAAGTATTAATAATTTTTGTAATAGATGTTATGGGTAGCCATTACGTTTTAAAGTATCCTATAAAAGCAAAATTTCAGAGTGTAAATTTAAGTATGTAGAACACATGTTATAAGCTCTGTTTAATAAACTTGATTGGTGATTGGTATAAAGCTATCAAATTGTGTTAGGAGTACAGTAAATGTCTTTCTTTTCTGTATATTGATGTGCCAAATCTGCTAGTGTTACGGTTAATGAGGATGTCTAAAAAAGATAGATTATTATTATTTTTAACCTCACAAGCGAACTTAATGACAAGATGTTGTGAGTTCACGTATTCTAAGAATTTAGAGCAGTAAACATTATTATGAAAAAAGAATAGATCTGGAGTCAGTGGGACAGGTGTCGAGCCATTTCTATTCATGATACAAAAGAAATACATTAGCTAACATTGGACCCAGCAGGGAGTCCATCACTATTTGTTCAAATAGGGTGTTGTTGAATAAGAAATTGTGAATTTTTGGTGTTAAGGTCCAACATAGTCTTAATTTGAGTTACTGAGAAGCATTATTGTGTGAAAGTTCAGGTATACAAATATCAATGGTTTCATTTAGAGGTGTATTAGCCAAAAAGGGAGGTAATGTCAAAACTATCCATACATTGGTTTTTGGAGTTAACTTAATTCACTTGCAAACTGAAATGAATCAGGATTAGTGAATTCATTGGTATGTGTGACTAAGGCTGAAAGAATTGTTTGGAAGGGGGTGTCTGCTTTGTGAATTTTAGGAAGACTATATAAAATACCAGGCAGGAGCCTGTCGGATATAATGGAGCAGTGACATATTTGAATATGATATTTTTGATTTTTAGTTCTCTCAGGTGTCTTTGGAATTTTTCCTCACGTTTGATGGTAAGTGATAAAGAGTCGTTGTTAGAGGTTTTAAGAATCACCTCCATTTTACTCAAGTAGTCATTTTTGTTGAGAATACCAACAACATTGCCTTTGTCGGGCTGTGTAACACGAATGTTTTTATTTAGTGACAGTTCTTTCAAAGCTGAGATTTCTTTAGGGCTTAGAAGGTTAGGGTGTCTCTTAGTATTAAAATTATAAAAAATAGAAGGAGCCAAGTTTTTAGTTTCATAATGAAATAATCACTTGATTGATCAAGAGTTCCTTTAACATACATAGGACAAGAGAAAAGAAAATTAGCAAAATTCAGTTTATGTGGTGGAAGAGAGAAATTAAGACCTTTAGATTTACATTTATTATTCAGTGTAAGATTACTTAGGTTAACAGTCATGTCATCAGGATCAAAGTTGGTTGAAAAGCTGTTAGTTTTTCTACCCAGCTTCAGGTTCTGAACATCTTCACGTCGAGCAATTCTTTTGTCATTGCATTGGCTCCACTTGTTTAAAAGATGGGTGTAATCCAGATTGCTAACAATGCTTCTGAGGTTATTAGTGTACATGTTGAAACATTTCAGTAAGCTGTTTGTTCTGTCAGTGTTCCCGTTGAAGGTCTTGATTCGGTAGTCTCTCTCGATAAAGCCAGTAAGCTGACGAATTTTGCAAATTTTGGTTTGACATTTTAAATTAGAGAAATTTAGGAATGATGTGTCTGAGTTTGCATTCTGAAAGGAAGCAAATGTCAAAAGTTGACTTTTTTAATTTTATAAACCCATTTCTCACAGGCATAGTATACATGCTTGTTTGTGACAAGTTATTTGCCCTTTTACTGATTTTGACAGCTGTGATTTGCAGCTAACTATTCCTGATAAGTGTGTTTTACAGCTTTGCCTGTTTTTTTATTGTTTCTGATTCAAAGCTTTCATTTGTCATTTTTGAGTTAGGTAAATGTAATTAGTAACTCCTTTCCTTTTTTCCAGTCAGCAGAAGTGGAGTTATTAAGAAACAGCAAAAAAAATAAAAATTCAGAAGGAATCAAAACTTAACTTTTATCATAATTGATACTTGAAACCATCGGTAACTGGTGAAACTCCATAATTACAGTATTGAAGAAAATCAAGATAATTATATGTTTCACAAATACATTATTTATTCATGATCATGGTTTTTGCCAGTAAAGGCATCATCACCTATAATCATGTTTGTGGGGAATACTTAAATTTATCTGCCATATAAAGCAAAGTGTCTATCGTGGAAAAAAATACACAGTCGAATATCTGTCATTTCATATCTGTTCATTAAACGTTTCCACATTTCTTGATCAATCAACACCAACTTGACACAGCAATACAAGATGACATGAGGAAGGTTTTTGACCCTCCATCTAATTCAAAATTTATAGAATTCTTGAAAACTCTATGTCTTTCTTTTCAGTATTGGTACCTTTATATTTTTTTATTTGCACTTTTAATGTTTATTATGTTAAGAAAAAAATAGAAGCACAATTTTCTCTTCTCTGCTACAAAAAATAAGTTATTATTTCACCCATACTCCAGCTAGTTTTAAATAATGCAAAGATATTGTAGGATTGACCTTTTGTAATAAAAAATAAATCTTAATAAAAAGGTCACTTATTATAAAGAAGAAATTTTCATTTTTTTATTATCCTAATTTTATTTTCTCATGAAAGTAAATGAATAAAGTCTTTATGGGAACAGAATACTTTGCTTAGTTAGTAAGTTAAAACATAAAATTTTACTTAATCTGTTCTGATATATTCTCTTGTATTATGTTTACAACTTAAAATGTTATTTAGAAAGTAATCTTAGAATGAAACCAATTTTTTATCATTTTGCACAGTGCAGTTATTTGTTTCATTCTACTTTTCAAATTTCATTTCCAGCCAGGAGATGTTCTTGAAACAGGGGACTGCCAGACTTGCTTTTGTCATATGAAAGGACATTCTCGATGTGAACCCAAAAAATGTCCCAAATGTCCTGAGGTAGGAAAAAAATCTGTATTAGTTAATAAATGTAGAATTTGTGATTTTATATTTATTGATATTGATGAAAACTTACTGAAAGCTTTTGCCATAAGAATCATATTAACTAAAAGTTGTCTAATGTTAAAAGTAATGAAAGTTAATCCTTCATTAAACATTTACATCATTTGTGTCAGTCACTTGGGAACTTTTTTTAAGTATGAACATGTTTAGTGTTTAAATAGCTAACTTAAGAGGGAGAGTATATTTGTTTTTCACTGTTTCAGTCCAAGACAAAAAGGTACCAAAATAAAATTTTCAAGATAAAGAAACATTTTAACAACAAATTGGTTATTATATATATATATATCAAAATAAAGTTGTAAAATCAGCTCATATTTTTGATTCTCTTCATGATTATTGAAAAAATAGTTATAAATGAGTCAATAGAACTTCAGAAAATATTTATCTTTCATTTTGTGGTCCACATTGTGGTTTCTGTGTTCTGTAAGTATGGTATTTGACTTTGTTCACTTGGTTAAATAATAAAAAATAGCTAGGAATGTTTATTTTTTCATGTTCTGAAAGCTTCATTCATGTTGAGCAAACAGTTACAAAATTAAAAAAACAGTAATTGCTTTTCTTTTTGTTGTGTAGCAGATACTAAGTTAACATCTTTTTGTTATAAAGAAATGTAAATTTTTTGTATTTAGGGTGAAAAACAAAAACTTACTTCTACATGTAAATGTACATGTGAAGGCTGCCCAGAAGGCAAGGTTCTGTGTCCAACAAATGGTCAATGCATTTACACCAATAATTGGTGTGATGGAGCAATTGACTGCCCAGATGATGAAGTCAATTGTGAAACAAGTAAGATATTAGTAAATGTATGACTGATTGCAAAACAATTACAGTTATTTACAAATCTAAGTTCTTCATTATGTTCATCTTTAGATTTCACTTTGTCCATCTTTAGCTTTGCTCTTACTCTTCATTGTGCTTATCTTTAGTTTTTTACTCTTACTCTTCATTGTGTTTATCTTTAGTTTTCACTTTTATTCATCATTATGTTTATCTTTAGTTTCGCTTTTACTCTTCATTATGATCAACTTTAGTTTTTCACTTTTACTCTTCATTATGTTTATCTTTAGTTTTCACTTTTACTCTTCATTATGTTCATCTTTAGTTCTTCACATTTACCCTTTATTGTGTTTATCTTTAGTGTTTCACTTTTACTCTTCATTATGTTCATAGCTAGTTTTCACTTTTACTCGTTATTATGTTCATCTTTAGTTTTTCACTTTTACTCTTCATTATGATCAACTTTAGATTTTCACTCTTACTCTTCATTATATTCATCTTTAGATTTTCACTCTTACTCTTCTTATGTTCATCTTTAGTTTTACTCTTACTCTTCATTATGTTTATCTTTAGTGTTTCACTTTTACTCTTCATTATGTTCATCTTTAGTTCTTCACATTTACTATTTATTGTGTTTATCTTTAGTGTTTCACTTTTAGTCTTCATTATGTTTATCTTTAGTTTTTACTCTTACTCTTCATTATGTTCATAGTTAGTTTTCACTTTTACTCTTCATTATGTTCATCTTTAGTTTTTCACTTTTACTCTTCATTATGATCAACTTTAGTTTTTCACTTTTACTCTTCATTATGATCAACTTTAGTTTTCACTTTTATTCTTCATTATGTACAACTTTAGATTTTCACTCTTACTCTTCTTATGTTCAACTTTAGTTTTTACTCTTACTCTTCATTATGTTTATCTTTAGTGTTTCACTTTTAGTCTTCATTATGTTCATATTTAGTTTTCACTTTTACTCTTCATTATGTTTATCTTTAGTGTTTCACTTTTAGTCTTCATTATGTTCATATTTAGTTTCCACTTTTAGTCTTCATTATGTTCATCTTTAGTTTTCACTTTTACTCTTCATTATGATCAACTTTAGTTTTCACTTTTACTCTTCATTATGTTTATCTTTAGTTTTCACTTTTACTCTTCATTATGATCAACTTTAGTTTTCACTTTTAGTCTTCATTATGTTCAACTTTAGTTTTCTCTTTTACTTGTTATTATGTTCATCTTTAGTTTTTCACTTTGACTCTTCATTATGTTCATGTTATTTATAGTGTGGTATGTTACTTTTGGTATGTATTTTGTAACTTGCTAATTTATAGTGTGGTATGTTCCTTTTGGTATGTATTTTGTAACCTTGTAACGTACAGTGTGAATGTTTCTGTCGGGGTACACTTTGTAACCTTGTAATGTAGAATGTGGTATGTTCCTGCTGGAATGTATGTTGTAACTTGCTAATTTATAGTGTGGTATGTTCCTTTTGGTATGTATTTTGTAACCTTGTAACGTACAGTGTGAATGTTTCTGTCGGGGTACACTTTGTAACCTTGTAATGTAGAACGTGATATGTTCCTGCTGGAATGTATGTTGTAACCTGCTAATTTATAGTGTGGTATGTTCCTTTTGGTATGTATTTTGTAACCTTGTAACGTACAGTGTGAATGTTTCTGTTGGGATACACTTTGTAACCTTGTAATGTACAGTGTGTTGTTCATTATTACAATGTCTTGTGTCATGATATTTTTTGTTTTTAGCTCCTATTCCAACAGAAAAACTAATTATTACCACTACACTTCCACCTGTAATCATCACACCAACTACTAATCCTTGTGTGACTGATGTCCCATATGGTAAGAGGTTTTTTTACTTTTAATGAGGTGGTATAATGTATCACATTATATTTACAATAGATTGGGATAAAGTGAAATGGTATTGTTATTGTATGCATTTTATTTAAAATCTACTGAGAAAGTAGAAAAAAGAAAGAATATCTCATGAATTTTCAAGATAAACCGTAATATTTTGTATGAAAAGTTACTTTAATACTGTCTTAAACTTGAAGCAGGAGGGATGAAATGAAAACGAACTTGTATACATATTTATGTACAATAAAAAATGTTTATGAACTTTTTAACAAAAAATATTGTACTTTTATTTTAACTGATTGTTTTATTTATTAATAGGTGTTGCTGTGTGTGCTGTCCAAAATGAATATATTTCAACATTTGACAAACTAGACTACAAATATGCAGTTTGTGAGCATACATTAATGAGAGAGAGGGCACGACACTGGTATTCTGTTTCTGGTAAGAATTTTCTTAAAAGATGTGTTTTAAGTTTATATATAATATACCTTGAACTTTTGTTTTTACTCATTTATTATTCAAACATTGTATTGTACATGTTACCTGTAGTGCAGTGTTTTTCTGTTAATGTTTTTATAATCAGAAAATTCTACCATTGTTTGTTAATGGTAAATCTGTATAGATTTTTGAATTTTTTATCATTCAAATATATGTAAAGTAGTAAATAATCACTCTCATATGTTGATTCTCTCCTTTCCAGCTGTTGTCTATTTTTAATGGTAGTTTAGTTAAAATAGATCTGTCTAATCAGTTGATTCCATTAGCGTATATAACACAAAACTTAATATGAGATCTTATTATAGGTCTGTCTAGTTAGCTGATTTTATTAGCATATATAATACAAAACATAATAGTGTAAATTAAAATAGGTCCAGATGTTCAATGTTGTTCATATGAAACTTGAAACATAAAATTTACTATTTTTTCAAATTATTTAGAAATATAGTTGCTTAATATTACCTAAATGAAATTTATATAATATATATATATAGAGTAGAGAGTACCTTGCACAATGAGTTATATAATTTAAACTTAAACTTATTAAATTTATGTACAGAACATGAAAAATCTATAAGTTATTTATGATTTTCAATTCTGAATTGCTTTGTTGTGCTTATTTTAAAGTCAGTTATTTAGAATTTGTGACATTTCAGTAGTTTGTTGTTTCTTAACGGTAATTTGTTTGGTTTTACCAGTTTTCAAGAAGTGCACTGACACCAAACCTCAGTACTGTGATAAAGAGGTTAAAGTCATGATTGATGGTTTGGAGTTCAGCTTGGGACCAACAATTAATGATTTCAAGATAGATAATACAGCATTTCATCCTGATAATTTTTGGATAATATCAGAGAAACTAAAAGATATCAGGATTCAACGTGCAGGTCAAGAGCTTATTTTGAAATCCATAAATTATGGGTTTGATGTTATAATTGATTCCCAGCAAAATATTAAAATCAAGGTCAGTTTTCAACTATGTAATTATGGTAAACATTTTCAACTAACTGTTTATATTCTAGTAGTAACTTGTATTTTACAAGTATGCCTACCTTCTACACAAATACTTAATATTGGAAAGCTGTAATTATAGTGTTGTTTATAACTCTAGAAACATTAATTTTAGATTAGAATATACTATCACAGAAATCATAAACTTTGTTTCATTCTTTAACAACTTTGCTTGAAAGAACATATAAACATAATCTTAGAGCTGTTTTATGTGTTGTTTCTTCTTCATTGCGTTATGTTTTTACATCATCTAATGAGTATGTGTTTAATATCAGGATTTTTCTTGAAAGTTTAGAAAATGATTTGAGTGAAACAAAACTTAAGTTTGAAAAGAGTATATGTTGATTTGATTATTAAGTTAGGAAGTTTGTTAATTCATTTTTCTGGTACCACAGTTTTTTATGTCAAGTTTGTGTTTTAATAAAGTCCTATAAATATAAGAAAGTGCCATAGATATATCAGAGAAAATTAGCATTATTTGTGAAATTCGGCTTATTGCTCAATGAATGTTAGGTTACCTTGTTAACTTAAAATTATAGAAACTGATGAGAGTGTACTTGAAGAAATCAAAAGGTTTCATCATCATCATTAAGTGGGCTGAACTTTTCATCCTGCTTTTTTTACTGAACGATTCAAAAATCCCAACTCATTAATACAAACTGTTACAATAGTATGTTCACTAGATATGAAAAATAAAAATATTTGTTCAAAAGCCCAAATATAAATTATCATGTAAATTAACTTATAAATCTGCTCAGGCTTATATGGCATCTTAGTTTCTTCAATTTTCAACAATGAGCACATTCATTTGATATACTTGCATACTGTTTAACATAAGATAATGATAAACTTGTATACTGTGTAACACAAGATAGTCTATGAATGACAAGGGACCATTTGACATACTTGTGTACTGTGTAACACAAGATAGTCTATGAATGACAAGGGACCATTTGACATACTTGTGTACTGTGTAACACAATATATTCTATGAATGACAAGGGACCATTTGACATACTTGTGTACTGTGTAACACAAGATAATCTATGAATGACAAGGGACCATTTGATATACTTGTATACTGTGTAACACAAGATAGTCTATGAATGACAAGGGACCATTTGACATACTTGTGTACTGTGTAACACAATATATTCTATGAATGACAAGGGATCATTTGATATACTTGTATACTGTGTAACACAAGATATTCTATGAACGACAAGGGACCATTTGATATACTTGTATACTGTGTAACACAAGATAGTCTATGAATGACAAGGGACCATTTGATATACTTATATACTGTGTAACACAAGATAGTCTATGAACGACAAGGGACCATTTGATATACTTGTGTACTGTGTAACACAAGATAGTCTATGAATGACAAGAGACCATTTGATATACTTGTGTACTGTATAACACAAGATAATCTATGAATAACAGTGGTCATGTTATATACTTGTGTATTGTGTAATATAAGATAATCTATAAGCTATAATTGGCCAAGTCACTGGTTCAATATTCTTTCTAACAGTGGTATACGTTTTATTTGTTGCACTTGCTCAGATTTTAGTAACAATGGTTTAAGTTTTTTGTCTGATTTTAGGTATCTGACTGCCTTCTAAATCAAGTTACTGGCCTAATATTCTTTCTAACAATAATTTGAATGTTGTTTGTCTTATTTGTTCTGATTTTGTGCATATTCCTGACTTCTTCATTAAGTCACTACTTGAAGGTTTTTTCTTGTATTTATTCTGATTTTAGACATTTGATTGCCACCTTCATCAAGTTACTTATTTAATATTCTAACAATGGTTTTTTTCTTTGGTATATTTTTAGGCATCTAATTGCCTTTTTGATAAAGTCTCTGGTCTTTGTGGAAACTTCAATAATAATAAGAGAGATGATAAAGAAACTCCGAAACAAGAACAAGTTTTATCAACGGAACATTTTGGTGATAGTTGGTCAATAGGCACACCTGGAAAATGTCTTCCACCCGTTTGTCCTTCAGAAACTATGAAGCTTGCCTTACAGATATGTGAACATGTCACGTATGTTTGTGTTTTTTATGTGTATATTCCTTTAATATATTTCTTATCAATAACTTGTACTGTTGAGAAGTTATTAATCAATATATGTTGTGTAGTATTCTGATTAAAGCTTTAGTTAGTGTAGATATCTTCTGGTGGGCAGAAACCTCTAACTCTTAAACAAGTTGCCATTAATAACAACTTTAGTTCTCAAAATTATAAGATTGTTTTACATCTTGTGGGTCTGTTAAATAGAACAAGAACTTGTTTTGAGATTCTTAAGACTTGAGGACACTACTCTTTACTTTCTCATTGACTATTTCACCTTATTTAGAAGCAATGAAAAAGCATTATAAAATCTGAACAATTATTATTTCAATAAACCACATCTAGCAGTTAAATATTTCTGATATTATTGATGGTAATTTTTGGAACTAGACATTTGCACATTAATAATCATAATAATGAGAAAGAAACCAACTGATCTCTTAATGATAATAATGAGAAAGAAACCAACTGATCTCTTAATGATAATAATGAGAAAGAAACCAACTGATCTCTTAATGATAATAATGAGAAAGAAACCAACTGATCTCTTAATGATAATAATGAGAAAGAAACCAACTGATCTCTTAATGATAATAATGAGAAAGAAACCAACCGATCTCTTAATGATAATAATGAGAAAGAAACCAACCGATCTCTTAATGATAATAATGAGAAAGAAACCAATGATCTCTTAATGATAATAATGAGAAAGATAACCAACTTCTAGAGTAAAAAAGTTTTTCATCACATATTTTGTATGATTATAAATTTAGAATCTACTTTATTCCAGTTCGAATTTTTTGGGTAACTTTAATAGTAATATCTTACAAGGTCAGAGACAACAAAGAATTTTTGATTCATTATTTGTATGCCTCTCAGTGGCTCAACTGTAAGGCTGTGGGCTCACATCACTAAAAACCAGGTTTTGATACTTATAGTGGGCACAGCACAGACAGCCCATTGTGAGCTTTGTGCTTTACAACAAACAAACATAATTAAATTCGATGACGAGG